TGGGATGGTCAAGCTCACCAAAGAGCTGCAAGATGAAAAGGCAAAATCCCCAATGTGGGTCACTGAGTCCAGGATAGTCAAGTTTGCCAAAGATGTGCAATCACGAAAGGCACCATCCCCAATGTGGGTGACTGACTTGGGGATGGTCAAGCTCACCAAAGAGCTGCAATATGGAAAGGCATAATAGCCAATGTGCGTCACTGACTCTGGGATGGTCAAGTTTTCCAAAGAGATGCAGTGGTCGAAGGCGCGTTCCCCAATGTGGGTCACTGAGTTGGCAATGGTCAAGCTCACCAACAAGCTGCAACTCTGAAAGGCGTAGTCTCCAATGTGGCTCACTGAGTCTGGGATGATCATGTTGACCAAAGAGCTGCAATCCCGAAAGGCATAATCCCCAATGTGGGTCACCGAGTCCGAGATGGTCAAGTCAACCAAAGAGCTGCAGCCTTCAAAGGCATTATTCCCAATGTGGGTCACCGAGTGCGGAATTGTCACTTTGGCCAACGTGCGGCATCCTTCAAAAGCGCGTTCAGGAATGTGTGTTTTATCAATTGGGATTTCGACCATAAGCAACAGTCCCCAGTCAACGATGCCACCCAGACTGGCGATCGCGTCTTTGTTGGAGCATATCACTACATTTGGCTTGAAGATAACACTCACAACAGCATTTTCAGTGATTCCAGAGTCCGATACCTTTGCATAGTCGTTGTCCAGCAAGTGGTTGTCTCCGACAATTACCTCGACAGCTGTAGTGCGGCGAGTGAGCTCGTCCCAAGGCTGTCCCTCCTTGATCTGCTGCTTGAGTGCCCGGCCTGTTGTCTCAGGCGTGACTTCAAGAACCATGACTTCGCCACTTGGCTGCAGCGCTGAAATTCTCATCGCCATGGCTCAAAAACCGATTCAGATGTTGATATCAGCTGCTTGCTTGTTGACCTGCCTTATTAAAGAGAAGTGTATGTTCTTCCAACGAACTTCGCTCCTCTTCCTCCCCAGAGGTGACCTGTCTTTGTCTCCCTCTTCTCTTTGGAGCCCCTGGACGGCTGTTTCCTGCAGTGCCCAGCAGGCTGGACGTCAACAAAACACGTCAACACCAGAGGTTGAAGAAGCCGAAAAACCGTGGGATTCCGGTCAGGAACTCCTGTTTTTCTGTAAGGATTTGTTTATAGGATTGTAGCTTGGGACACGTGCCAAGAGAGGTTAAGTCGGTCGGTGAAGTCACCTGAAAAAGGATCCGTCATTACTGGGGTACCCAACCTGGGATAGTCTATAGGTTGAGTGTGTCCTATTACCTGTAACAGTCAGTAGACAAGAACATCACTATTTTAGAGATGAGAAGGCCTGCAACTGAACCATCATCATGCACTAAACTAAAACCTGGTGTTTTTCATGGCATAGACCCAATCTATCTACCCTGGAAGCCCAGTCGACCAATTTACTTGAGAGGAGGGAGACACGAAAGGTAGGACAGCGGGAAGAGAAGAGAACGCGAGAGGCAGGAACAAAAATGCAATGTTCGACATGGTGATTTATCCCCTCGGAGGCGACCTTTCGTAAATATATGTTCATATGCACTCTAAATGTTCAAACATATGCTCTCGAAATTCGAAATGTTCAAAAAGATTCTTAGGAAAACAAACTTGCCCCATGGCTCAGATCATCGGTGAGCATTGAATCGGAACATCATAGGATTTGAACTATCCTGAAACCATAAGAGGCTCACGAAGACGCTCCCCAGGAGAGAATTGACGTGCTTCACAAAGAAAATCTAGGTATGTATCCCCTCGGGGAACACCTTTCGTGATTAGAATTTCACTCTTTCTAAATGTTCAAGAGGGTTTCAACAATCCTGAAATCATGAGAGGCTCACGAAGACGTTCTCCAGGAGAGAATTGATTCTAGAGGGGGGGGGGTCTGAATTGAGCGATCAATTATTAGACCCGGACGTCCCAACACTTGCTTCGCAAGACAAACTCAAGGTATCCCCCAAAGGGCTACCTTTCGTGAAAAGGGTTGACTTAAAGCCAAGTAGTGCCAAATCCTTAGTAAAACAATGCTTTGCCGTACATTCAGGACCACACCGTTGACGCGAGTTGGTCACGCAAAATCATGACTCTCCATTTTGAGGTATCCAAAGCACCAGAAGACCAGACCTGCCCAGGACAAAATGCCGCCACTGGGGGGTGCTGGTGGTCACAACTCCACCTGACCTGCAAGCCGATTGCGGACTCCTGGCGACGACGAAGGGTCTCCCGGACGGTCGGGGTCAGTTTTCGCCCGCCACCGAACCTGCCCATCTGACTTCGGCCGCACCTCTGGAGAGTCTTTCACTGGAGGTGGCTGCCAGGTATCATTCAGGGCGGCCAAGGCCTTCTGCCGCCGCCGGAGGCGGAACGAACCCCGCGCGATCCGTCATCCGGCGCGGTGGGTGGGTGGGTGTTCCACACACCCCGAACACCCCGGACGCTCGGCCGCATGAAAATCACTTGAGAGAGGAGGGGGTGAACGAAAGGTAGCAGCCAATCACAAGCACCCCTGGTAAAAGTCCATGACGGCGTGAACCGGCGCAAGGGGGATTTGATCCAGGGGCCCCCCCCCCCCCCACGAACAGAATCAACTCTTACAGGACCAAACTCAATGCACAATCCCAACTCCTGATTGTAATACATTTTTGCTAAAGCAAGGAGAACTCAGGTAGCTCAAGCTACCTTTCGTGATTATATTTTCTGCACCCAAATATACGGTCGAACTTCCTATCAAAACAGGGGGGAGCTTGCTGATCTCCATGCCGGTGCCATCCTCTTTCCAGCCTCCCAAGAGCAGAAGATGTAGAATTATATAGCTAGTAGAAAACAGGCTGACAAGACCCACCAACACACAGATCCTCCACCACCCACCAACTTGCTCGCTTTCAACTGCGTTTCCCCCCGGCTCCCGCCGCCTGCGCCGCGCGGAGCTTCGCGCCGACCGCCTCGCACAAGGGCTGATCCGCACCGACCTCATCCGGGGGAGCGGAAGCTCGGCGTCCAGACGC